GAACTTGCTCCCGCGTTTTTCATCTCGAATATGGATGTATGCTAAGCATCCAAAAGTCCTGATGTAGTCGAGATTGGGCTTGTGTTGATACCATAACTCATAAGGTGACTCCATGAGACCATTTCTTGCACGATTAAACAATCGATTTTGCACAAAAACGGCGGCATTGCAGGCTAGGCTCCAGAACCTCGTTGGTACACCGCTGAAAGATAGAAATGATCTGGCTTTTGTTACTATGGTTCTCATGTATCGCTCGACTAGTCCGTTTTGTTGAGGAGTGTAGGGAGCGGTGGTGTTCTTAACAATGCCGATTGAATCACAGAAAGGGATTAGGATTGAGTTTATGAATTCTCCACCGCCATCCGTTGTGATCATTTTAACTTTCCGATCGCAATGTCTCTCAGCACGGGTAATGAACAAATTGATCGCATGAAAGATTTCTTCCTTGGTTTTTGATTTCAAGAAGAAAATGAACGTCATCCTAGTGAATTCGTCAATTATTAACATAAAGTACGAGAAGTTAAAAATACAAGGGATTTGTATAATTCCGCTAAGGTCTATATCAACGGTGGGCCAGCTACGCTAACTGTAGCGTTAGCGTAGCGTAGTGTAGCGAAAAATCGCTACAATGTAGCGTAGCGTTAGCGCTTTTTTCATTTTCAGCGCTAACGCGACGCGCACGGGGCAAAACAATGCGCTAACGTTTAGCGTAGCGTTAGCGCAATTCTCCCCATCTGCGCTAACGCTACGCACACAGGGCGCAAAAAACCGCCCGCTACGCTGCGCTACAGCAGTTTTTAGCGGTTTTTTGGCGTTTTTTGCCGCTAAAAACGCTGTAGCGTAGCGTAACGCAGCGTAGCGGCGCCAGCGAGGCGCTAACACTACACCAAAAATGGCTAGTGTTAGCGCCGCTACAAGTTAGCATAGCGCAGCGGCCGTAGCGGCGGGCTAACACTACACAAAAAAAAAAAATTGGCGCCGCTACGCTAACACTACATGGGCCCGTAGCGTAGTGTAGCGTAGCGGCCCACCGCTGTCTATATGTATGTTATCTAATGGATTGCGGCTGAGAGGTTTAACACCGGAGAAAGGAAGTTTGGTGGATTTGGTGAGTTTACAAGTCTCGCATGTTTTGTCCAATTTTCCTTCAGTCTCGAGGGTCTTCTTCAAGTAGTCCGGATTGGCATGACCTAGTCGGTTGTGTGCTATTTTAACATCAATACTGTTAGCTTCATGTGATTCATTCGGATTATTGATGTGAAAATTGCTAACCGTTTCTATTTTGACAACCATGAGATTGTTGACGTATCGGCCGCACAGAAAAATTTCATCGTCAAACATTATGTTGAATTTCGATGGATCATTTGGGTCTTGAACTTCAACAGCCCCTTTTCGCTTCAATGCTCCGGCGGCGATGAGATTATTTCGGATATTTGGGATGTATAGCGATTCTTTGAGGGTGAACTTCTCGATGGATACGCCTTTGATCATAACTTCTCCGATGGCTTCTACGTTCAACTCTTCGGATCCTGCTGTCATTATCGAATCGAGTTTCTTTGGACTGTTCTTGACGTTGGAGAAGAATCAAAAGTCGTTGAACATATGACTTGATGCTCCGGTATCCCATACTGCTTCGAGCTTAGAATGAACAAGATTTGCTTCGTTCCCGTATGCGAGGAAAACGTAGTCCTTCTTCGCTTTCGGGATTGATTGCGTGAAGAATGCTTCTCCTTGCTGAGGTTGTTTTTCTTCGGTATGGTGGGCACCAGGGGGTGTCAGGCCACGTTTTTCATACCATTCCTTCTGAGCTTTGGTGTTCTCGGGGCGTTGGAAACAAGATTTCGCTGCATGGGGGCCAATACATTTTGCTAGGGTGCATTTGACTCTTCCTTGATTTTGTTGAGGCTTGGAGGTGTTGTTGGCGAGTTTTAGGTTGCTTATTCCAGATGTGATCTTGCTGGTACCGGAAAAAGAAAATTCGATATTTTCATCTTCATATTGTTTTAACGCGTTGATTACAGCTCGTGTGGTTATTGGCTTGACTGTTCGCAAAATCGTTCTGACTTCTGTTATGTGTGTGTCGTTGAGTGAATGAAGTAGTCTTCTACCGAGTTGGGCTTCGTCGATGTGACCCCCTCGATTAGCTAGCTCGCTCTTGAGTTTGGAGAATGAGTCGATGTGTGATGTGATGGATGTTTTGAAGTCTTGTGTGAACTTCTCTATCTTAGATTGTATCAGGTACAGGTTTGCTTCGTTATTGGACTGGTGGAAGGTCTTGATAACAAGCCATAGGTGTGCTGGTCCTTTTACGGACTCCGGGATCTGTCGGATTATTGTATCGTCTGGGTCTTCTTCATCTGTGTGGTCTTCAACTTGAACCAGAGGAATATTGATGTCGTTGTAAGCGGCTCTGAATCTAGTTGAGTTATCTGAATCCATTCGAGAGTAGAGGAATTCGAGAATGCATCTTCGGTTGATGTTAAAGAAATAGAATCTCGAGGGAACCGATGATTTGTCTGGACCATACCATGAAGTTGCCGTCTGTCAGAGCTTCAATGCCTTTGATCTTGTTGAGTGTTGCCGAGATTCCGAACACGTGAGCTTGATCATTGCTGAGAATCATGCCGCCACGGTGGGAAGCATTCTTGATTGCGTTCTTTTGGAGTTCGATGTTGGGATCTACGGCTTGTGGCATCTCGAGTTGTTATTCGTCAATGAACTGAATGCTCTCACTACCATGTAATAATGGGGATAAGATCTGATAACAGAAATTGAATGAGTCGGAGTTGTTTTAATGACAACGACGACACCTAGTTTTGACCACACACCTGATAACAGAAATTGAATGAGTCGGACTTGTTTTAATGACAACGACAACACCTAGTTTTGACCACACACCTGCACGATGTGGTGGCGGGAGCGCACCTGGGCCAAAGCTTTGGCCGGCTTGTTTGGGGCATGCGGAATGCTCGCAGGGCTGATGCGGAAAGCACGCGGAGCTGACACTACACAAGCAGGCTGAGGAAAGCTGCGGTGCAGTAGTGGAAAGTCTAGCCTTCCGAGGCGCGGGAAAGCGGAGAAAGGTAGACCGAATGCACAAGGTTCTGAAAAGCTTACTGCGGGGAATTCGGGCATCGGCGGACGCCGGGGATCACGGCCAACTGCGGAACGGGGGTTCAGTGTATACTGCGGAGAGGCTACAGAAGAGCGGGGAGCACCGAGGGGCAGAAGCGGGGTTCGGAGCGGACCAGAGGCGGAAGCGGCGGTGGGAGACCTGCTTAGGAGCGGCCGGAGGAGTACTTGGACCGACAGGCGTCGGAGGGGTGACATGCGGAGTCCGAGGGGGTGACAGCGGATGACATCGCGGGAAGTAGGAAGGGACTGGAGTGTGGGATACCTAGGAGGAGAGGAGTTCGAGGCAGAAGAGGGGAGAGAAGGGGGGGACTTATGACTCAGAACATATCGGAAAAACAGCGTGACTTAGGAGTGAATCGTGTATTAGCCTAAAGAATTGTTAGAGATAGATTAGAGTTAGAGTATTACCTACAAAAGATCAATAAAAGAGAACTAGTTTACCTACCTACAAGACCATCAAGCAAGTTACCCCGGACAACAAAACCGGAGTAGGACGCGTTGCGGAGCGGAGAAGTGCAAGAAATCTCCTAGGGCGCGCCTTACTTTCCACAACGAGCGCAGCAAAAGTGTTGGATGAAATTTATGAGTTGGAAGGACACGCAAGAGGTATTGATTAGTTTCTCTTCTTCACAGGCAAATATTGTTGAGCGTGTGTATTTCATAAGAAAGAAAAAGAGAGATGACAATATTTGATAAAGAAATATAAAAGAAAAAGAGTCGAACCTGATAACAGAAATTGAATGAGTCGGAGTTGTTTTAATGACAACAACGACACCTAGTTTTGACCACACACCTGATAGAAATAGAAAGAATAGATAGAAATAGAAGGAAAAACATAAGTCATTAGAATGATCTAGAAAGAATAAGTTTTGATGATAGAAAGAAAAATATGTTTGAGAAAGAAAGAACAAATAATGGTGCATACCTGCACAAGCGCAGCAAAAGTGTTGGATGAAATTTATGAGTTGGAAGGACACGCAAGAGGTATTGATCTGAGATAGGAAAAGACAAATTGAGGAAAAAGAAAAAGAATAAGAAATCCATGTTAGTTTTTGTTTTGATTCGGTTTGGTTGAAAGATTGGATTTACTTACTAGTTTCTCTTCTTCACAGGCAAATATTGTTGAGCGTGTGAAGAAAAAGAAACTAGTAGTACCGGTTGTTTCTTAGGTTTTGTAGGGCGGGAGGATTTTTGATTAGGTTAGGTTTGCTGATTCGATGATGGTGAAAATTGCATTTGTGTCCGCAACGCTGCGTATCCTGTATGCGCAGTGTTGCGGGCTTGGATTCTAACATATTCTCATTTCAGAGATGATGATCCTCCGAACGGGTATGTCCTATTTGAGAAGAAAGGCCAGGGGTTTGGGAATTGCTCACAAATGTGGCACTTGGTAGAGTTTTGACATGTTTGGTGGCATCAAGCCCTGGAGGTGCACAATTGGGAGGACTTACTTCTACTCCAATTTGCCTCCGCAAGAAACCTTTATCCACCCCAACATCTTCTCCACTTGAAATAAAAAATGGAAGACCGCTAGAAACAACGTCGGAAACCGGACTGAGATGATGATTGATTGAAACTGAATGAGAACTGAGATTGGAATAAGTCAAAATATCTTTTGTGTCTTTGATGATTTTCATTTGTTTTTGAGGTTTTGAATTTTTAATTGAAGATGAAACTGAAACCGAAAAACATTGAGCAGCGGTGGGCCGCTACGCTACGCTACGCTTTTGGCCCAAAAAGCGTAGCGTAGCGGCGCTTTTTTTTTCACCAAAAACCGTAGTGTTAGCGGTTTTTTAGCGGTTTTTCGCTACGCTACGCTGCACTACAGCGCTTTTAGCGGAAAAAACGGCCAAAAACCGCTAAAAATGGCTGTAGCGCAGCGTAGTGGGCCCTTTTTTGCGGCCCACACGCGTAGCGTTAGCGGTGTCGTGGCGGAATTCCGCTATGCTACGCTAATTGCTAACAGCGATTCCGCTGCGTTACGCTACACTAACCGCTACGGTTAGTGTAGCGGCCCACCGTTGCATTGAGCCTCTTGATCTTGAGTTAATCCGACGGCGAGAATTCGAGGCTCTACATTAAGACTGCCGTAAATCGGATCAACTGAATCTATAAAAAATGCCGCTCTGAATCCGGATCCTGGCAAGATTTCCCTTTATGAGTTAAAACCGCCTTTCGCCCTTTTCCAGGAAACTCACGCTCCCAACGTCCTGAGTCTGTCACACATAAAGATACCTCAATTCTCCGACCAGTTGAATCAGGAAGAAGGATCCTCTCCCCAGCCTGGCTAGAAAATGTCAAGGTTGCATTGAAATCGATCAAGAAAGGTCGGCCAAGGATGATTGGTCCGTACAAGCGTGTAATCCAAAAATGACAGGTACCAAATATGGAACGTCCAATCCTAATGGGAACATCTTCAGCGACACCTACTAACTCACAAGCCTGGTTTCCTATACCATAGACAGCCGAACTGAAATTTACTCAAGGACTGATGTTAAATTTGTTAGCCATACCATCAGATATCAAATTACGTTGTGAACCTGAGTCGACTAGTGGGGCTGCCGTGCTCTCTTCCTCCCCAACCAGACATGGCAAATAACCCAAAGGACAAGAGTAAAGCCGTAGATCTCCAAGCTGTCCGTTTGTCTCGGGTCCTTCGGCTAGAGTTCCTGACGACACCTTCAATTCCTCCGGACCAACTTCCACCCTTCGCCTTGACACCCATTTCTTCATTCCCTCTGCTACTGATGGTGAGATTGCCAAGAGCTCAGAAACTGACAAGCCTGGGACCGTGAGATCGGAAATCTTCTTGAGAACTCCATCGACAGCGTTTGGATGATCCTTAGTGATTCCACGCTCAAATCTCACCTTTGGAGGTGCGCTCGTTGACTTGGGTGGCAATGATGCTGGTGCAGGTTCTGGTTCCGCAAGACTTGGTGGTTCCTCCGCTGAAGAGTCCGCTCCCAAATCGGCAGGTGTCCGATCAAACAATTCCGCCTCAACATCCATGTCCTCCGCTTCCACACTAGCGCTTGGTACTGTGGCTTTTCTAGTGGGTCGTCTTGCTGCCGTCGGCGGTGTCACGTTTCAGGGCTTCATGCCTCTTCCTAGCTGGATCAGATCGATAGGCTCCCGAAAAAGACTGAGATGAAATCGCAGGCGGATAACACAGCTCTAGTGTGCCACAGGTCATCCTCAACTCTGTGGTTACCGTACTAGATGAGGTTTTAGGCTGATAAGAGGCCACTACATGTTGGATCGGGCGTGACAAATCGAATGGAATGAGAGCTCCATTTGGAAGAAAAAAATTATTCCCCTGCTGATCAACCAACTTCTCACTCTTATCCTTCTGAAGCTCAAAGCAGCGCGCAATTCCATGCCCCTCACGATGGCAATAGTAACAAACAATTGGTCCTCATGGTGCAGGCGGTACTGAAGAAGAAGGAGGTGCAGCGCTTGCCAAAAACTTCTTCTCAAGCCTTTGCTCAAATGACTGAAGCATCTTCGAAATTTCATCGATGGTGGCCGGTGCCTTTGCTGAAACAGGAGCCTCTTTTGGTCGCCGATCCGTCTCCATCTTATTCATTATTTCATTGGACTGCTTAAACAGCGACGTCGAGACAGGATTGGAAGATCTAGAATCCTCAAAAGTCAATGCAGGCTGACCCTTCATAACCTCGTCTACAGCCTTCTTTAGAACGTCAAAGGCAGGAAGTTTGAAGTGGTTGTCTAACGTCGTGATCATTGTCTTGTCTTTGATAAGCTGATCCCAAATCCTCTCTTGCACCGCCGTCGAAAACGAGCAATAAAACAATGTTCGAATCTCCTCCAACGAGTTGATGTGGGCCTTTCTAAGGAGATAGGACTGAATGGGCTCCCACCCTTTCCTAAAGTCCTGATAATTGACTAACAACGACACTCCTTGGTTTCAAAGCCGTCCAACGTTTCGAGCACATCCTTAACTTCCTCGCCGCGCACAAAGAACCGAACTTGCTGGGCCATATCACTATCGGATGCGCCATCCAACCTCGCCGCCAGCTGATAGTCAGACAAGAATCTGTCGACATTGTTCCCATCGAATCCCAACGACTTATCCTGTGGCTTGATCTTCACCATTTTTCCATCGGATGATCCTGCACCTGCGTCTGCCATGGCGTAGTTGATTGAAGAATAGTCTGAAACAACAAGAGAGCAAAACCGAGAGGCTCACAAATGTGGCTAGAGTAATGCTTTCAACGGTATGTAGAAGAGCTTCGGAGGTGCAACTATGGAGGGGACTTACTTCTATCTCTCCTGTGCCCCACGCGTAATAAAAAAAACAGAACAGAAATCCAACGATCTTGATCCAAAAACTAGGATGTGTCCCAAACCCCTTCAGTCCAATGTCGACTTTGAGGTGGAATAACTTTTGAAAGAGAAGTCCGATCAACGCAATTGCGGGCTCAAATGAAAGCTATGATTGAGGGCTAAAACTTTGTTCTCAATCACGATGCTCAAAAACAGATTGTTCGCGAGATATTTGACGTCGAAGATAGTAATAAAGAGATTGGGGATGTTAAGTTGGAGGTGGAATAACTTTGGAATGCGTGGTCGGATTTTTCTAATTTCTGAATCAAAGGGAAGCCACGATTTGTCTCTATAACTTTGTCTGCGGCAACGTAGAGCGATTCCCAACGGTTTGCGATATGTAGGTGATCGAAGATAATCCAAGAAAAAGTCAAGTTCCAACTTCCAAGGGCGATAACTTTTGAACCGTCTGTCCGATTTGGCTAATTTCTGGATCAAAGAAAAGCCGAAATCCGTCTCTATAACTTTGTACGCGACGACGTAGAGCAACTCCCAACGGTTTGCGATATGTAGACGATCAAAGATAATCGGAGAAAAACCGAGGTCCAACTTTCAAGGGCAATAACCTTTGAACAACTGGGCCGATTTTGACGATCTTGATTTCAGCTAAAAGCCACGGATCCGCTCTACAAGTTTGTCCGCATCACCTTTCCCCGATAACGAACAGCGAGAGAGATATAAACGATCGAAGTTATCAACCAAAAGCGAACCTAAAAAAAAGTCCTGAAACCTGAGCTAGAGATCCTGAAACAAGGCTAGAGGTCCTGAAATGAGGCTAGAGGTCCTGAAACAAAAGCCAGACACTAGAAATCCTCAAGGTTAGAGCACCTATCGCCTGAAAGAAGACCAAGTAAGACGAGACTGTAAATCTTGAGGTCGCTGGTTCGATCCCGGCTCGGGGGACCAAATGTGGAACTCCAATGGTGCTGGCCGGTGGCAGTTGGTTAAGGGGAAGGTGCTGAGAAGCTGCCCTCGTCGTAGGTCCGGATGAGAAGTGTGATCAAAACAGGAAGTGTGAGGGGCTGGATTTAGTGAGAAGACAGCAGAAATTGAGTTCTGTGGCGATGGTTTGAGTTTGAGGATCTTGAGAAGAGTAAGGTTTGAATTGAGAAGATCTGAGAAGATGGATTGAGTTCAAGAGTATCAGGATCAGAAGAATCAAGAAAACAAGATCAATAAGGTTTGATGGGTCTTTCTTGGATCAGGACAGAATGCCATGCTTCCCCATCATCTCAGTTCAAACTGAACTTTGACTCTGGGGAGTGACATGTCACAGACATGTCATCACATCCCTAACTACAACACAACAGGACCCAGGAAACCCCCGAAGTATGTCAGTAACGTAAATGTATGAATTTTTTCAAAAAAAAGCCAAATCATACGCACGAAAGTGGTATGAATCGGTTTGGCCGGCAAAAATGTTACGCACGAAACACAGTCGAAATGTATGAAAATTGCCTCAATGTTGAGCAAAACCCGCCAAAATGTCTAGTCCCCGCTTTTTCGGTGGCATTTTTTCACTTTCCGGGTGATTTTTCCTCAAGCATACACACGAAATGTGTATGAATGGCCCTGAAAATGCCAGTCCCCGGTGCCCCCCGATGTATGAATTTACCGAAAATCCAGGGATTTACGTTACTGACATTTTTAGGCGGTTTCCTGGGTCCTAACACAACTCAACCAAAAAACAAAAACCAGACCACACTACACAACACAACACAACACAACACACACAACACAACAGAAGAAGAACACAGAATAGAACAAACAAACAAGATCAGAATAAACCAACATAAATGAAACTATGTCTTAGGACCAAGAAATAAGAAACAACACTCTCTTCTGAGTAAATGATTTGAAAAAGATAAGTAAGAATAATAAAATGCTAAAAAATACAAATAAAATAAAATCAAGATGAATAAAAAATAACATGAAGAGTAAATAATAAGAGGAAATGAAATAAAATAATAAAATGAGGAAACCATTTGACTGAGTGGGGATTTGAGGTGATAATATTGAAATATTGAGTCTTGAGGATATTGAAAATTTGAAAGTTGAATTCTGAAATTGGACCTTGAGGGGGCCTGTACCGTTTAGAACACCACACCGCAAACTCACAATGGATCCCGGGCACTACTTCGACATTGGTGGATATGAGGGACACTACAAGTGTCAGCTATGTGTATGAAACTTTGGCTTAATAATATAAGAGACAAGTACTATCACTGTGCTGAAGGACTCAGGTTAAAGACCAAGATTACTCCTCGTCACCCTCAAAGTATTAAGTGGTCCAAACTTCCCACTTAAGAGGTTATAAAGTCCACACTCCTCAGTTAATGACACTTGAATAATCAAGAGAGCACTGTAGGAGACAATAACATAATATGTTATTGTAGAGTGTTTGGAAGCAATAATTAATATTGCAAGAAGTAGCTGGCAAGCACCTGAGCTGGAAGGCTACAGTCAGAGGTGGTGGTCTTGCAGCAACTACTTTTCATGAAGTTAGTTAAGTTTTGAGTCTGGGATAACTCTCAGCTTAATAATAATTCCAGTAAGAAGGTAGGGTTGGATTGGATAAAAAGACTACTCTAAAAGTAGGTGGAGAATATTCACTGTACTCACTTAGTTTGTTGGGGGTGAATATGCTGAGGAACCAATCCTAGGCAGGAGAAGGCCTCCTTAAATATTCTAGAGGTCCCCTTGAGGCCCTCCTTAGAATATTCTAGAATCTTTCTTTGGTCTACCATGGTAGAGTTATTCCCCTGATGTAATGGGAATAATTCAAGGTATTTCAAATAATGTATATTCTATGTCCCATGACATCATGATGCATATTTATAGCCAATTACATCATGTGTCTACTTAAAATAGAATACTACTAGTAGAAAAGTGCCACACTCTTGACATGGTGTGGTAATTTTCTTTTCTACAAGTTTAATAATTTAATTATGCTTGTAGAATAAAATTTCTAATTTTACCCTAAATGTATATTTAACCCTAATTTAATATACATTAATTTTATTCTATAAATTTATATATTTTATTCCTTTTATCCTTCAAGAGTTTGAATGTATACAAAGTCCTTGAAGGAGTGGGAATTTGGGGATACTTCCAGTGGACAACCCCTTTATAATCTTATGAAATATTGTTTTATTAAATAATATTACTACATATTATATTACATGTGGAGTATTTTAATACTTAATATTCATTTAGAAGTCTTTTGGATACTATGGAGTATCTCTAAGGCTGACAACGAGGGTCCCAATCAAATGGTTCCCCATGACCCAACACGCGCGTATCTCATTGACCCGGATGCGAGTTCAATTTCCCATGATCACCATTCCTGCGGCCCCAACGTGGGGATTCCCTCCTCACACCTGCAACAAGGCTACGAGAACTCCGGCATATATGAGGTTGCAATTTCCGGCAGCAAAAACCCTGATCCCCGGACGGGCACCGGCCTAGCAATAATTGGGCCAATGAATCCCCCTGGCTCATCAGTATTGCCAGAGACTTCCAAGCCCGTCAATCGTTTTTTGGCAAAGACCCCTTGCGCAAACCTAATCCGAGCCACTGCCGCACACGGGAGGGTGGTATCGACTTCTACCCGCAAGCAGAAACAAACACGCGAGCAGATCGAGGCAGCTAAGGCGCTCACGGCCGTCAAGAGGGCCGAGAGGGAATGAGAGCGGCACAGAAGTTAGAAACACGGAGGCAGAATGCAGCGGCGAAGGAGGCCCACACCTCCTTGAAAGGTTCCGAGACGTCATTGCCAAAACCAAGATTTGTCTGGTCTGATGAGGCATCCTTGGAACTCTTGCGCTTTGTTAAGGAGCTGAAGGAGGATCATGATAACCTGTCCAAACGCACACCTGGTTTCATTGCTTGGACTCCCTACTTCATGAAGAATGAGGTAAGTCGTGAGGATTACCCGCTCTTGGACGGGATTGCAAACGAGGTCATCCTTTGTTGCTATAGGGCCCTGATGTGCTTATGGAAGGTAAGAGGTCCTGTTATAATTTATCTGTTAGGGTGGGGGATTCACTTCATTTTCTTTCTCAGGTGGTATATGAAAAGCTCTTGCATTTGGGCAGCGGCGGTGTAGTGTGCCAAATGTGTTTCAAGTACCAAATTGCATAAAGTCATGATCCACTCTTGATAATAGACTATATTATTGATTTTTTTATTGCATATTTGAATTCTACATCAAATTTAACCTATAGTCAATCACTGGAACCACTAGGCTAGCTCAACTCAGTCAGAAGTTATTTAGAGCATCCGCATCAGTGCGGATCAAAGCTAGGGAGGATGGCAACGGTTAGCCACGTGACATAGAAACCGTCACACACCCGCCACATTGGTCATGGCTTTTTCAGAACCAACCACCCCTTGACTGCGCTAGTAAACTACAACCATACACCACATCGGATAAACTACAGGATGTCAAATTGCTTCTTTCGAATGAAGGAGAACACTTCTTTTTTACTCCAATTGATCCCAACATTCTCTCTGATGCAGACAGTCTAGTGTTTGCTCTTTCTTGGCCTGATCTCTCTCCAATCCAAACAGTCAAGTTTTTGCTCTTGCTTGCTCTGATTGCTCTCAAATACAAATTGTCTAGTTTCTGGTCAATCTGATCTTTCTCAATTGCAGTTATTTGTACTCCAATTACATGTATTTGCTAACCAAACCAGAAAAAAATGAGAGAATCGATTCAAGTGAAACATTCGATAAGAAAGAGGTCAAGAATTGACGATAAGAGAAAAAGATTGATTCAAGGTTTAAGAGTGATCAAGAGAAAAACTTGATAGAATAGAATGAAAAACTTAATAAACACAAACATAATGGGATCGAGTGAACACAAAGCAAAAAAATAAAGATCACAAGAAAGTTGGGTCAATGTTGAGATTGTCACAAGCCTCGCCAACGAGGCCCTCATTCTATTCATCTTGATCATTCTGGGATTCATTAGGCTCTGAGCTGGGATTGGGGGGATCTTGGTGTGAAGAAGCGAGCAATTCGGTCCCTTCATCTTGACTCTCAGGATTTATTGAAGATGACAGTGGTGGATTGTTTGGTGGTCGTTGTAGTGTTGAAAGCAGTTGATGTTGATTGAAGGTGGTGTCGAGGTTGGTTTCAAAATGTTTGATGAGTGGTGTACGGTGTAGCAGGGATATTGGTGATATAGATATGGGATATAGTGTCGAATAGCCACAAGGTGCTGCGAGGTGAAGTTTGAATATGCAGAATTCCCTAGCATCATCACCAAGTACTCCCAAGGTTGGAGAGGTTTGGCAATGAATGCTAGAAAATCTGGCAAGACACGGGACCTTAGTCAAACCGATGCAGTGGGTTTACCGCTACATTTGACATAGCGCGGGGTTTAGACGAGCTGATGCAGATGCTCTTAGATGTTAAGGTTATGATAGAACATGATTACAAAGCATAGTGGTACATTGGTAGTGCATAGTATATATTTAGAGCTAGGTCAATGGTTAGGGCTAGAACCACAATCTAGCCATTTTTGAAATTATCAGTTAGGGCTAGAACCACAAGCCAGCCAGTGTGTAAATAGACTATATAAGCAGGCCTTGTTGCCCCCCTCAGTTCTAGTTCCTCATGCAATCCCAGCATCAACATATGTCTCACTTGGAGATTTCAACCCATTCATAGGGGTGATCTCAAACAAGTATCTCATCATCACACAGCCTGGCCAGCTGGTGATCATCATCATCAACCCCCCCCTTCTTCAACACCTGTGATCTTAATCAGGTTCTTAGATAGCTTGTCTCATAGCACTTCATATATATCAAATGATCTAGGTCTGATAGAGACTACTACATAAAGGTTTCTCTATAAAGGTTTTGGCACATCAATATATAAATTTTTGTTCAGAATTCTTGTGTAGTACAATAGAGGGGCAGGTCTTTTAAACCACCCGTTGTGGAACTACTCTTTGGGATGAATAGAGCTTGAGAGGGAATAGTGCTTTAATGGGCTGCCTCTCTGGGAACTAGGATGAGTAAGGTAACAAGAAAAGAACAAGAGTATGGACTCTTGAAGAATAGGTGTGGCTATGGAGATTTCTTGAGTAAGGTATGTCTCACCAGGGGAGCTTTGGGGGCACTCCCCAGGGAGTGCCATATCTGAATTCTGCAATTGTTTTTGTCTGAAGTGCATTGGATGTTATCACAATGTTTTGTTGAACTATTTCATTATTGAACAAGAACTGTAGAAAAACATGTTTGTGAAATGATATGTAACTATTTAGAGTTAACTATTACTTATGCTAGTTAAATTCATGCTGAAGTCTTGTTCAAGTCCGTCTTAATCTTATACAAATTTTGATATTGCTCCTTACAGCTTCTGTAAACATTAAAAAAAATGTTTTTACATTGAGGATGGCTCATTTCCGACACAGTTACCAGTATAACACCTGTAAAGGAACTGCTTATATTGAGACAGAATTACAAACCTGTTATCCCCAATGGGAATAAAAGGAAGGGTAGCTGGAAGTTTTATTTATGTGAAATACCCCTCTTTTTACCCTCAATTTAAGTTTCTGAATTTCTGGATGTCAGATCGATCACAACCTGGTGTGGGACATGCCCATATGTAGATTGTAAACATTGCCTATGTACAAGCTACAAGAAATAATATGCTTGTGTGTGAGTGTCCACCAATATGCCCGCTGAATGAGGGGTGATGGAGTCTTCTCAGGGGTAACGATAGGGACCCCTTTAAACTTGGAAACT